GTCTCGTGCGGCACCCGCCCCGGTCCCGGCGGCTGCCGAGAGCGAGGCTGCCTCTGCTGTCGAGTTCCCCTTTGCAGCAGGTCATCTGCAGCTGCCGTTTGGGTTGTACCTACTGTACAAATAAGGGAACAAGATAAAATCTTGTCAGAGAAACCTCTGACAAAGTTTCCAGTCCCTAAGTGAAAATTAACTTTCATCAAGCTTTTCAAAACACAGCTGCAGACTGTCGTCTTCTCTCGGATTCGTCTTCCTTATTTTGCAGGCTTTTGTTAAGTTCTGGCTGTCTCCTGGCCACGTCTTTTCCACCTGCCTTCTCCTGTGACTGCTTCCCTGCGCTGTGGAGCAGATGAGTGTTCAGAGCATGGCTGGAGTTGGCCACAGTCCTTCAATCTCCGCTCCAGCCACGCTGCTGCAGTGTCAGAGCTGGCCTCAACAGAGATCAGAAGCAAAACACACCAGTGCCTGAGAAGGAAAGTGTCCAATACTTTCCAACACTGCGTTTCTACCTGAGCAACAGGCAAATAAATACCAGGAGAGAATACGCAGAGTTGCAGTTGCGGGGCAGCGCGACTCTCGCTGGGTGGCTGCTGGGGCTGATTCTACGAGGAGGACATGAAGGTTGGGCAAGGGCAGAGGGCGCAGCTTGCGAAGCTGCCGTTCTCTCGGCCAGTGCTCTGGTTCCCGTTGTGACTGGGTTATTCTGCCCCGTGTTTGGAAGAGTAATAAACCAGTGAGGATGCAATGAAATAATAACTTCGTGGCCAACTCAAGGTAGCAGTTACAAGTGTAGAGGCTGTTGTTGCCATCGTAAGCACAATAGCTAAGCTCTGTGCTGAGCACCTGCCTCGTGCTGTCCTTGGGCTTGGGTATGTGGGAGAGCGCTTGTCGTGGGTTAGGGCTTGGCCGGCCACTAACACGGACAGACGGTCTCTAACCCCCTCTTCTCCCCTCAAATGGGAAGGAAAAGGCAATGAGGCAGAGAGACTTTCGGGTTAGAGAAGAAAAACTAGAACAGCTTTAATGAAACAATAGAAATAATGGTGAAATGATAACAGTAAAGAACTATATACAAACACAAATAGTAGCCTGATACCAAACCCGGCTCCGTCCCCCGATATCAATCCCCGCTGGAGCTGCAGAGCAGGAGGCACTGGGGCAGCCCCAGGCTCAAGCGGGAGCTCGATACAGGAGCTGGATTCGGGAACTCAGGATCGGATCAAAAGCAGGAGGTCAGATGGAGCCCTGCCTGGACACCGGCCATGGCAGAAAAGGGCTGAAACTCTCGTGATCACCCAATTTATACTAAATATGACGTATGTGGGATGGAATAATCTCGTTGGTCACCTGTCCTGTCTGTTACCCCCCGGAGGTGCAACTTTTCACTTCCCTGTGCCCCCTCTCACTACCCGGCACCCCCAGCGTGGCACCCAGAGCCAGCCGTGGCCTTGGGCACTGCAGGAATAAGGATCAGCCAGAGCCTTTCTGCATCCCAGTGCCAGGCAGTGACTGTCACATCAGGTGTTATCACTGCCAGCAGCACACACTGTCTGCACAAACATGCTGCTGACTTCAGACAGTGCAGCCTTTTAGAAGAGACTGAACTGGAAAGTAAAAATCACTAAACAGAACTGGGTTTTAGTTAAACCCAGGACATTGCTGCTTTGGAGGAAAGCAGGTGACAGGGAAGTTATGCGTGCTGGAATTGTGTGACATCTGGAAATGGTTTTGTCCTTTGCAATCATAGGTCAAGATAAAAGCCCTAAAGCTGCAGGGCAAAGGTTCAGAGGAAATAAAGTTCACTGGAAAGATGCCCATAGGATTACCTGTAGGGAAGCTAGGGCTGAAACTCGGTCTTGTGTCTCCAGGTGATCTTGAAAAGGAGATCAGCATGATGTTGCATTATGTAGCTAAAAAAAGCGAATGTAGAAACCCTTATCTCAAATGTAGTGTCTGCTGCTTGCTTTGTAGAGCTTGGAAAAAACCTTTAAAATGTAAAAGGATTTAACCAGAGGAAGCAGAGGAGGGAGGCTCCCAGGAGGAGAATTTCCACCTTGCCAGGGGACTAGCAAGAGGACAGTGAAATAACCTTAAACGCTTCCAGTCTAAGGCTTTGTCGCTGTACAGGGCAGATTCAGCATCTTAAATTTTTTGAAGTGCTGCTTGCTGAGATTTGTTGAAGATGGGATTTCTCAAGTTGCTTCTGTCTCCAGTGGATACTCCCTGCATTTGAATCGCTAATGTGATTGAAGGCGTGGCAAGGTGAGTGCCCTTCGGATTGGGCTGGTGCTGGTGGCGACGTGAACAAACCGTCTCGTTTCCCCAAATTGCAGTTTACGCAGTCTGCAAAGTAAGTGGCGTGAGGAAAGCAGATTTTTAGTTCAAGGGAACTCTTTTCCTTCCCTCTTAGAGAGCTAAGACCCAAGCTCAACTTTGGAAAACAAAACCGCAGGGTTTTGCAGTGTGAAGCACACTGAGGTGCTGAAGAGACGTGGGCGTTTCCGTTTCTTGTACCTTGTCCAGTGTTCTTGCGTAGCGGAAGCACATCTGACCTTAGCAGTAAGTTTGAATGTGATTCCAGAGAAGACACTGTATTGCTGACTTCTTTTAATATCATCGGCTCTTTTGTTGGTTCTGTGCTTCTCTCGCTCCCAGCCCCATTTGGTAGTCAGCTTCTGTTTGATAGTCGACCTTTTGCTGCTGCTTATAAAACCCTCCATAGTCCTCTGGAGATGCAGTTTCATGAGATGTGAGTCAGTTTAGCTGGCCTCGTGCTCAGGGCAGGGTTATTTCTTTTGCCACCCCTCGGGCTCTGAGCCAGAACCAGCAGTTGCCAGGCCTCTCTCTGTGAGCTTCTTAACTCCCTGACCTGGCAGAAGTCTAACAAAGGAAGATTGAAGAAAAAAAAGGGGCAGCTGGATAGTTTCCTGCCAGGTCAGTGAGTTAAAGCTGCTTATGGGAGAGACCAACAACCGCCAGGGCTGGCAGAGAGCTGCTCTTGGTAGCAGCGGGCTGCTTGGTAAGCTCAGGTGCGGGGCACGCGCAGCCAGCGGTTGCGAGCTCTGGCGGCTCTGGTGCTCGCGGGGCTCCTCCAGGAGTTTGCTGTACTTCACCGCTTCAGCCACCTGCACTGCCAGTCACCACCCTTGGCCTCATCCAAAAGCCGTCACAACTTTTTTCTGTTAAGGTTGTTGCTTTTGTGAAAAATGGATAAGCTCACCTGCCCTGGTCTCCAGTGCGGGCAGATCGCCGCTGCTCCGGAGGGGCTCCGGCGTCTCCACCTGCAGAGGCTTTGGAGCGCCTGCAGAAACATACAGCTGAGGGAGGAGCACCTTTGGCTGCAAGAACTGGATCAGTCTGGCCCACCCTTGGCAGTGCCCAGAAAGGAGGGGTGAGGCGGATTTCTGATGTGCTGCAAGCCAGGTACTCTCACATGTCCTGTGTTTGGTCTAATCAGGTTGCTGGAAATTGCTATTAAAAAAAAAAAATCATGTACTTTGTGTAAACTAATAAAAAATATCTCTGAGATTGTCATGTCCTGTCTTCAGGCAGAACCACGAGACTATTCCCCAAGCAGACTCTTTTTTAGTATCAAGATACTTGGTGCTTTTTACAGTGTCTGTAAGTCAGAGCATGTCCCTCCTTTAGTTTCTGTAGGTGAGAAAAAGGACTTAGGGATGAGGTTGCGTACCCAGCCTTACCGCCTTCTCCGCACCTTTTCCAGAGTCCACAGTTATCCCAGATCAGTGTTTGTGTGAATGTGTTTGCAGCTAATTTAGCTCAACTCAGAGGACTCAATGATCTCAGAGGTCTTTTCCAGCCTCAACAATTCTGTGGTTCATGGGCACTTCTGTGTTCATCATCATGAGGTTTTGGCTTCTGTTTCTGCACTGGACAAGTATTGCAGAGGAACCCAGAGCCCTCACGGTCCCATTGCTCACTTACGCAAGGCACGGTGCGAAAAGCCCTCAATATCTGGGAGAAGGCTCATGTCATGGAACTTCTCCACTGGCAACCAGCATAACCTCCTGTATCCGTGCCAGCTGCTAAGGGTGTTTCACTGTCACGTTACCAAACCAGGTAGCAGGGAGAAAAACGTGTGGGGTTAAGGCTCGGCCTTCCCTGGGGTGACGGGTCGGGAACGTTGGTGCAGCAGTGGGATCGAGGTCGGATGGGTTCTTGGCCAAGTGCCCGAGGTGGGGCTGCGGTAGGCGGGCGGTCTGGGTGGATCTGTATCTCTCATTTCTGAGGCTGCTGATGGGCAGAGCTGCCACCCGCTCCCCTGTAGATGGGTACCAGCTCCCAGGCAGCCAGTGATCGTGTCTGTGGAGCTTGGTTCTCTTTCTGTCCCAGCCATCAGCGTGGTCCGTGTTGTCGGGCTGTTTCCAAAACCTCGTGCGTGGTCCCCAGGGCCTGGGGCTGCTGCCAGCCCCTCAGACACTGCAGTGTCCCTCACACCTGCGTGCCTGCGGACAGGACATTCCCAGGAGTGTGGCTGGGAGGCACCCCAGGGAGGCTTACGGGGTGGTTGGACGGAAGGAAAGGGATGTCAGCTGGGGCTGAGGGCCTGGCAGTGGGAGCCAGGGGCTGAATTTGTGATACCGTGAACGCCTGGATGGACACGTGGTGCCCAGCCTCTGCCACAGTGCAGCAGCATCACTGAAGGCCGTTTAAATAAGATCACAGGAAGACAGCCCCAAAACCTTCACACATCTGTACAAGAGCAACCTGCTCTTGGCAGTGTTTGGAGAGAGGTTTAACAGGGTTGCCGACTGCAAGAGCCACACCGAGCCGCTAGCTGGGGATAGGAGAGCAATGACAAAGTGGGGATGAGACCCTGGCTGCCGGCCCTCAGTCAGGGTCCCGTGCAGCACACCTAACACCGAGGCTCCTTCTTCTCTCTCTGCAGGAACATGATATTGAGACAGCTTTCGGAGTGGTCCATGTCACCATGAGGGGCACACCCAAGGGGAACAGACCTGTCATCCTCACATACCATGACATTGGCCTCAACCGTAAGCCCTTGCATTCCCAGGACCCTGAAAAAAAAAAAGTGTTGTTCATAGTATTTGCTTTTGAGTGTGGGGACCAGCAGGACTGGCCTGGAGCTGAGGTGATACAGGCCAGGGTAAAAAGATAAAGGTCTGCAGGAGAGAGAGCATGTGGCACACCTGTGTCCATTCCAACAGCCCTGAAAGGTAGGGCTGAGGTGGAAATGTGAAGTAGGTCTGCCTGCCGCACTGCAGCGCTCTGGCTGACTTGTCGCACTGTGCGATAGAGCTGTCCCAAGGCATCTGTTCCCTGGATGCTGGGCAGCTGAGCAAGTCCCCTCTCCAAGGGCTGCAGACATGCTGTGATGTTTCTGGTGGGCTCAGTTGCTGTTTCCACACGCCTTCCCACTCAGCATGCACTGCGTAGTTCACACAGGTGCTCCTCGGTGTGTGCTGTGAGTACCCACATGCTGCAAGCCCGTGTTTCTCTGGGCACACACACGGAGCTGTTGTTTGTCTGCCTGCCCCTCAGCTGCAGCACTTTGCCAGGACTCGCTGCCACGTTGCAGCGTGGGGCGCAGCAGCACGCGTCGCCCAGCATCCGCTGCCCCGTTGGCTCAGCAAGGGGGTTGGGGTCGCAGGGATGTTTGCCGGGGTGTTTGGAGAGTGGATGGCAGCAAAACTTCAGGAAATGTCTCATTCCTTTTTATCGTTGTTATAGACAAATCCTGTTTTAACGCATTCTTCAACTTCGAAGACATGCAGGAGATCACTCATCATTTCGCTGTGTGCCATGTGGATGCACCAGGCCAGCAGGAAGGAGCACCCCCGTTCCCGTCTGGGTAAGAGCTCTGCAGGGACCCTCGCTGTTCAGCTGTGGTCAGGACTGCAGGCTGGACTGAAATAGCGCCCGATTTAAGGCACCTGGGACTGCCAAGCTGAGCGTAGCGGGAGGCAACTTTCCCAGGCGCAGAGGGAACGGCAAGGTGAGGCTTCCCAAGGGGCATTCAGGGAACTCTCCCGTGGCTGAGGCATGGGTAAAGCCCTCACTAATAGCGAGTGCTGGTACCAGCTTTCTGACTGGAGCACGAGCCCAGCACGCTGCAGTCTAGCTGGTGTTCCTTACTCTGATCATCCTCCACAGAAGTCTGACTGCCCAGAAAACCACAGCTCAGTGTTAGTCCCGCTCTGAGGGGTGAGATCCATGCAGTTGGCTGGAATATACGGTGTCGTTGCAAAACAGCCAGCTGTGTACATGCCTGTCAGATATTCCTTGTCTCTCCTGCCTCGAGTAGAACTGGAGGGTCACCTCTGTCGAGCTCTATCTGGGGGTGCTTTGATTGCAGCCTCTCTTGGTTTTCAGGTACCAGTACCCCAGTATGGACGAACTGGCTGAAATGCTGCCTGCTGTTCTCACACACCTCAAGTAAGTCCCTGAAATGAAATGGGATGAGCCAGCTGGATCCAGCCATTCCAGCGCCTACTCTGTCTCTGTGTGCAACACCTGATACGCTCTCTGTGCTGTCCCAAGGGGCCCAAGTATCTGCTCCCCGGTGTAACCCTGTCTGGTTCTCATGCTGGGAACATCGTCTGCCACGAGACAATTTATGGTGGCTGCATCCTTGCTGGATCACTTTGAAAATGAACCCTAAGGGAAGAGCTGGATGCCGAGAGGGAAAAGGCTTTTCCTCTGGGGATGCTTTGGCTGTGAGCTTAAAGTTAGCCTTGCTGATCATGAAATGTCTGTATTTCAGCCTGAAAAGCTTCATTGGGATTGGACTGGGAGCTGGTGCTTACGTCCTCAGCAGGTGTGCAGTAAGTATCTCTTCATTTCCTTGTGACTGATAGGAGCTGTGGTCTTCGCTGATCGAACAGACCATTTGTGGGGCGTGAGGCGAGAGCAGTCAGTAATTACAGCAGGCCTGCAGGGAGCCATGGGAGAGCTACACATCCAGATGGTTAAACTGGATCAGGCCAACTGAAGCTATGCCAGGCGTGGAAGGGTTGTAGTGTGATGTCTTTGGGTCAGCAGAGCCCATCCTGGCTGCTCGGAATATCCAGCCTCGTGTCTCCACAAAGACTGGCTGCGTTACCGTATGCTGTTTCCAGTGTTTGTGACACCGAACACTTGATCTGGTGATGTGCTGTGAGCCAGTGCTGATGAGGAATGTGCTTTTTCTCTGGAAGGAAGTAGATTTTGCGCTCCACCCTTTGACAAGAGGATGCTAGCTTTGTCTTAGTACTTCTGCATTTCTCTCGAGTGGGGTGTTTATATGCATTTGAAATCAGTGGACGTCATTTTTAGCAGCCCAGAAATTTCCCTCAGTCTTTCAGGGATAGTTTTAAAAGAAAAAAACACAGAAACCTGACATTCAGTAAAGTTTTCTTCAAGTTGTTGAGTGCAGGGTTGCGGATGATTTAGGCCATTACAGCTTCTTAAAGCCACTTCACCTTGCAGCTGCCCCTCCTACAAAAGGTTCCCTGCTTCCCGCTCCCTCCACGCAGGGCTGGGCCTGGGGCGGTGTGAGGCACTGCTGTTCGCTCTGTTCCTTGCCTTTGTGTCTTTTGTTGTTTTGTATTGCTGGAGAGAGGATCACACAAACAAGCCTTTGTCCTCAGCTCGGAAGCGCTTGCCATAGTACCTGGATTGCAGTTTTACAGAGTTGTCTCCTTCTGCTTGGCCAGTGCTGTTCTGTGCAGTGAAGCAGAATTGCTGCCATAAAATTTCAGCCTGAAAGGAGCGAGCCTACAGCTCAGGGTTCTCTGGCTGCGTTAGATCGCTGGGTTTGCGCTTGCAAGCAGTTCTCACAGTACTTGGTATCTGTGCTCCCTACCTGCAAGCCCAGGGTGAGCTGCAGGGTGCT